ATTTATATAATTAAAATAATTTTTTTAATAAATTTAATTTTTATTATAATAATAGTTTTTAATAAAAAATGATTTTTAAAAGAAAAACGATTTTTAAAAGAAAAACGGTGGTTGCTTAGGCAACAATTGTTTAAGAAATAACGTTACCTCTTTAATAAATAATGCATATGGGAGGTACGGTATTCTGTTAAGGAACCGTTTCTCAAAACCATCCTTTGCCGCTATGGTATGTAATAAGGCAGGCCAATCCCAACTGGCGACTTGATTAGGGTGTCTTGATATGTATGTACGTAGTAAGAACATGCCGCACCTTTTTTAGTCATGGTTGGAGTTCCGAAAAGGAGAGCTTCGTGTAAACGGTGTTAGATGCGTTAGCTGTTACTAATATATTAGGTACGTCATGTATTAATGATGCATCTACCACATGAGCCTTGCATAAGGGGGTTACACTGCTTGCTTAACTAAGGGGCCTAACTAACATAAGTTAAGTCCCTTACTAGGACGGCGAGGAGGGATAAGTGCTGGCGGAGTTACCCCTGACCATTGCTTAAGGTCTGTTAGGAGACATAATGTAAGCTAATAATAATAATACATACATATGTAGCTTACCTTAGGTACGACCGCCTTCGTTACTAACATAAGTCATCTCAGCTCCTATTGCGCCATCTTGCGATATACAATTGGCTACATAACCTAACCTATACCCCATGTAGGACTATACAGGTACGCTTCTGCTATAGCTACCGTACCTCAACTGCATTTATACTCCTTTCAATTAAACCTACCCGATTTTATTCGTTTACATAAAGGTACCTTGCATGATTGGAATTTGGAAACCATGAACCTCCTGTCCAACCCCTTTCAGCTACAATCCATTATGTGATTGTAATTTGATAAGGGTAACCACCTTTTACTTCATCTCCTTACATATATCTTAGGTACGATATCATAATAGCATTCAGATATACCGCTCAAAGCAATAACCATACATACCTCTATAAGCATCAGACTTAAAAAGCAGACCAACATATCTTCCCGGCCAACATACCCAACCAAATCCAGTACCTAACATGACCAATAATCGAAAAGCCACCTCTAGACTACTCCAACCCCACCTAGGCGTAATAGAGACCCATCCTAGAAACAAAAGTAGCTTGGGGAACAACCGCCTCGTCTTTGTCCTTAGCAATCCAAGCTCTCCCCTTCGCCGCTTCGTACTGCGTAGCCATGAAGCCGACCAGCTTGTCTTCCTGCGGCTGCTGCTGCTGCTGCTCCTCTTCCGCCCGCTCTGTGTCGGTAGCCGTGGGTTTCTGGTAGTATCGCTGCCAGGAGTAGCTCTCACCTAGCCGCTTGGCCACGTCGTTGGCCTCGTTGAGGCTGACGAGGCGACGCTTGCCGTCGACCTTGGCGAGGTGCGCCTCGAGGACCCGCCAGGTATATTCTTTACAATTCTTGCCGATGGTGTCTTGTCTGGCACCATCTCTACGCCGCCTGTAGCGACCCAGCATCTCGTGGTTGCCATTCTTCAGCGTGGCGATTATATGATCGGCGTTTCTGTTAAGCTCGACGGACTCCTGGGACTCGACCTTGGAGTTGATGAAGAGGTCGTACGCGATCTCGCTGGGGGTGCGGCCGACTGCGTTCTCGCGATACGCCAAGCTAGGGCTCTGGTTGAGGAGCACCTGGGTATGTTCTGCTAGATGGCGAAGCACTGCGGTGTGGAGGATGGTGTCGCCGGAGCCGTTGAGGATGCCGAGTTCTGCGCCGCCGGAAAATTCCAAGAGTAGGCGCAGAACGTCGATGTTCTGGAGGTCTTCGTCGTTGAGTAGCTGATGAGCGGGCCAACGTTGGTTCGTTGGATAATACGTGAGGCGGTTGGCGGTCTTGAGCCAGGAGTGAAGAGGAGTGTCACCGCCGCTAGCGAGGTTATTTCGTTGCAGGAACATGTGCGCTCTGAGATCTGGATCGAAGAGGTTTAGGAGGGCCCGGAGACGATCGAGCTTGAGCTGCCCCGCTGCGGTCGGCAAGTTTATTAGAGAAGCGTGGATGATGTTGTTTAGCTCCTTATCCTTCACCGACTGGTCGGCTCCGGCGTCGATCAGCGTCTTTGCAAAATCGACCCTGCCGAGGAGGCATGCCAGATATAGAGGGGTCCACCCTTGTTCGGACTTGGCCTCGAACGACGACGGGCACACCTTGATCAGATACTCGATGAGTTTGTTCGTCTTCTCCGTATACGCACCCATCACGGCGCAGTGGATGACGAGGTCATCTATAAATCATTAGCGAAAAGAACTACGTATATTGGGACTAAGGTGTTTCGACTCACTCTGCGCTCCGAGCCACGTTGCGATAGCTCTGTCGAATCCGCCGGGGGCGTCGCTCAAGTGCTTGAGGCGAGGATCCTCCTTGGCGATCTTGGATTTGCCAAACTCCGAATAGAGCCGCATCGGTGCGTCGCTGACGAACCACTCCGTAGATTCCAAGGAACCTCGAAGAGCAGCGGTGAGCAACGGTGGTATTTTGCTTCCCGTAGTCTTGACGACGAGGCTACGACCGGCTGTAGCCCAGTCCGCTCTCTTCTTTCCGTAGACGCTCAGACCTTGATAGTAGCGAGGTTTCACTTTCAGCTCGGCACCGGTGTTGTTCACCAGGTCGTCTATCGGGATCCCTGCCCCGGTTCGCTTGATGACGCTCGCGAGCATATCTGTTCGGCCGAGCCTCAAAGCATTCTCGAATAGATCCTGCGGAAATTTGTAGAATCGGCTCGACTCGTCTTCGCCGACGGGCTCCTTGCTGGCAAAGTAAATATGCATGTCGATCAAAAAGTTGAAGGCTTTCGCATCGTTCTGGTCTATAGCGGCAAAAAGGGGGGTTTGCCTATGTATGCTCCCCGTGAGCGAGCCGTCGCGGAGTATGCGTGTTGGCGTCGGCCAGTTGAGAAGTGCGCTCGCGGTGGTCTGGCTCTTGACTTGCATAGAGATTTGGCCGACGTTCTCGATAGTGAATTTGTCGTCGATGATTTTTTCGTATATTTCGGGTTCGTCGTCACTGTCAGACTCTGCCGAATCCTCATCTTCGTCCTTGTTCATCGTGAACCGGGTCGTCTTCTCCTCGTTTGGTGCCCACTGGGCCTGGGCGATCTCCAGAATCGCTTTCGCTACCTCGTAATGCCCGCGTATGAACGCGAGCGAAAACGGATTGTTGAACTTAACGTCGGACACTGCTATCTTAAGAGGCGGTTCCCGCTTATCTGCGTCCCACGAAGCCAGGGTAAGCGACTTGATCGTAGGAAGGTCACCGGCCCAAACCGCCTCGAAACTTTGACAGGTTAGTATTATAGAAAATACATAAATTCGGGGGTTATGCTCACAGTTTGATATATGCGGCTTTTCTTGTCTCTGTGACATCCGGGGCATTGGTAAAATTGAACTCCAGGGCGTATGCCGTTGGTTCCTGGGTCGGGTGCGTATATCTCGTGGGTAGCTGAGGTTCTCGAGCGTCAGGATATAGTTCCTTGAAAGTTTTCGCACCCTTAGCCTCGAGGGCCTTCTCCAGGCCTTCAAGTTGCGAGATGACATCCTCGAGGACGTCAAGTTTCTCCGTTTCGTCTTGTAAGTTGGCATCCTTTTCCTTTTGCTCCTCGAAGAACTTCAGGTCACGCTTGTGACGCTCGAGTTTTTCGGTAACATCCATAGAGACGACCCAGTGCTGGTAAGTTCCTTCGCTAAATTTTGCCAGGAACTCTTCGGTTCCGAAAGGTTCAACTGGGCGCTTCTGACGATTGTTTGATCGCGCGTTAAAGAAGCTTGATACCTCTCCAGACTGGGGCGTTTGACTCGTTTCAACCAACGTTCCCCTATATTCGCGAGCCTGTCCAAGTATATCACGAGTGAGATCCAATGAGGTTTGGCCCTTGCTATAGCTAGAGCCCTGACCCTTAGCGACATTATGGCTCACCATAGTCATTGTGTTTGGATCGGCTCCTTTCTCCAGTAGCTCGACAGCATTAGCGGGATGCCGAGATCTAATAGCCACAATTAGGGGTTGCTCGGTATTATCTTTGAATACCTGAAGGTCCCTCTCGTAATTCTATCAACTTTTAGTACGTACACATTTATGTATATAGAGATCCAGATAAATTATAGGGTTAGAATACAGGGCGTACTTACACCCAGTTGATAACCGAAGGAGAGTTTGGCACCCTTCAACCAGTCTTCGTAGTTTATTTCAACCTTTGCTCCGGCTTCGAGTAGCTTGGGCACGATCTCCCGGCTATCTACACCGAGAGCTGTGATCAGTGGGTTGGTCGTACTACTACCATAGTAGCTACCGTGAGAGGCCATATGATTGATCGCATTTTGAAGGCCGATCTTGTCCTTCTCTAATAGGCTCTCGATTAGTTCCAGCCTGCCGCTCCGAACGTATCGTTGGAACGCGGTCACGCCGTTTGTCTCGGCTTGCGAAGACGTGGCGCCTAAGCTCAACAATGTTTCTACCATAGGTATGGCCTTATCAGTCGGGAGAGCTAAAGCCAAGGTCAATGTCAAGATGGCAACGTTGGGGTTCGAATATGACCCGTCGCCGAATTTAACGGGCAAGAGCACGTCGGCGCCAAATTCTTGGCATAGGAGCCTGACAACTTCGCAGTGACCTCCGAGGATGGCGAGATGCAGAGGACTGCATTTCGAGTCCCAAGCGACGGTGTTGATCTTGTAGAAATCTGGTTCGCTCTGGTCGTTTTCGAGGATTACGGCGTCTTCGTCGTCGGCCTTTCCGTCTTTGCGGACCTTGACAAATGATCCGGTGGTTACAGACTGCACGTCGTCACCATCTTCGGATTCTTCATCGCTTACCATCTCGGGATCGGAGCCTTCATCGTCAGATTCGTGGCCGGACTTCTCATCAGCTTCGCCAGGTTGAATGCCTTTGTCTGTTGCATTACGATCTTTGCGACGCCGGTCGAGCTTATCTTCTTCCGCTTCCTCGTTAGCATTACTCTTCTCCAGGAGAATCCTTAATATCTCAATATCGCCTCGCGCTGCGGCTAGGTGAAGCGCGGTTCGACCATCCGCTAGGCGGGCAATAAGACGTGCTCCGTGATCAACTAAACACTTCACGATCTGAGGAGTCGAGCTGATGACGGCGAGGTGTAGTGGGGTTCGGCCTGTGTAATCCCTCTTGTTGGGGTCGGCGCCTTCTTGTGAGAGCCAATCTTCCACGTGCTCGAGATCGTCATCGATAATAGCCTGGCAGAGTCGAGCAGTATTGCCAACATACGCCATCTCGGTCCAGTCATCCTCGGTGAGCGGATTGAATGAACCGATTTGCTACGGATGTGTTAGTGTTATACGTATGCAACTAGTGATGGGCCTCGCTTACCTGTCTGCCCGGGTCGTCAATACGAAAGGTCGCTTTCCCCGACACGTAAATCTCGCTCTCCTTCTCGGCTACTTCGATCTCTTCGGGAGTCTCGGGCTTCGGGCAGGTACCACAGCAGTCGCCGATCACCTTAAACTTGTTAGAAACGTGTCAGAGCACATAGGCTTATAGTTTCTGCTTACATCTTGGACTCTTCCGAAGAAGGCGGGGTGCCTGTGAAGATAGACCTCCCTTTCTTTAGGTTGGTTCCATTCGGCGTTCAGAACTAGGATTAGGTTAGGCATACGAAGTATCATAACTCGGGGGCGGGAGCATAATAAAATAAGACAACGGGAAGAGAGGAATAACTGCTGAATAAGCTGTGTAAACATAGTAGTAAAAGAGCTTTTACTTACGCAAGTCCTTGGTATAGCAAAGTTTTTCGATCTTCTTAGCGTGGAATTTCTCGCCGTAGGGAATGGTAAAAGTATGGTAGTTAGCAACTTCATCCTCATCGACCCAATCTGCCACTTCATCTTCGTGGATGTCTTTAATATTTCCACGGAGACGGTGCTGGTAGCGAAAAGGTAGTTCCGGTCGGCCCCTTTCCTGTCTGCGTTTCTTCATATATTCATCTCTAGCGTTCGTGGTCGGTAGCCGTTCTAAAACGAGTAGACGGGCTAGTCCAAGGACTCTCTGGAAGCTGCGCTCGAAGATAGTTGGGTCGACCCGAGATCGGTCAAGTTCTGTCCAGTAAACCTCAAAGTTCCGGTGGCTATACTTGGAAAGACGATTCTCGTAGGAGGGACTCCTCCGACTAAGATCTATAGGGTTTATCTGGGTGATATACGAGGCTAGAGCTCGTGGAGAGCAATAGACATGTTCTCCGTCATAAGCAGCACAAGAGCAGTCGATATCAAACCCGGTGAGAATCTCCGAGATGGACTTGTACACTCGAAGAACAATCTAAAGGGGATGTCAATAACTGAGAGTGTAGATTAACCAAGCACGAAACCATACCTGGATGTGGCGAGTAGGATATTGACTGCCTGGTTATGGTAGAGTTAGATCGTGGCCATAGGTCATATAGAAATGAACAACTCACAAATAGTGATGGCATTCTTAGTTCGCACAACTGTCACCTCGGAGAGGATTGCGTCGCGAATCCGAGCTTCGATGTCCTTGATCTTCTCGATAGCCTGCTGCTCATCGAGTCCGTACAAGAACAAGTCGACGTCAGAAGCCGGGCAGAACTTCTGATGGTAATACTCGCGAAGAGCTCTCTTGGAATGATTATACCGATCGGGAACAGGTAGGAGACAGTTAACTACGGATGAACCGGCGGCAACGACATTGCTCCAGTCCATCTCGCCGAGAGAGGACTCGGAAAAGATGCCGAAGTTGCGGCGAAACTCTTTGAGAGAAGTAACGACGGCGGGTGAGCCGTTTGGACGTCGCTTGTCATCCGGGAGAGACATAATGTACTTCTCTTTCTCGCTAGGGGATTCTGCCTCAAGGTTACGAGCACGAGTCTTGATGTTTATCGTGTCTTTAGTGAAAAGGGGTAGAACATTGAGATAGGGGTCGTCCAAGACTGGATTGTTGCGCTCCTGAGCGTATACTTCACGTAATTTGGCCTCGAATTTGCGATAGGGCTCCATTATTTCCTTGATTGGAGTCTCAGGATGGTTGGTAATGTAGTTTACCAGCCCGTCGTGGGCGACAGGCAACTTAGGAAAGTCCATAACTGCCATTGTTTTCGATTGAGCTCAGCTCAAAATCCAAGTGCACAAGATAGTCTTTAAGACTAGAGTAAGATGTGACTAAATAGGTAAGAGAAACACAACTAGAAAAAAGAAGTGAGGTATATCAGGTTGGGCTAGTGAAGACGAAGCTGCATTTGATTAAGATGAGACGGGATGGCATTAGATGTTTTATACTAGTGATCTATGTACAAGAGGCACAGATCTCGATATAGACAATCGAACATGACGATTAGGCAGACTCGCCAATTGTAAGGGCAATTCCATGTACATGCTCTTGCATTGTTACCGTTCTTGGTAAGGATGGATGGGATGACGTTAAACCGGTAGAATTGGCAACGGACAACTTGAGCTTATCGTGGGGTAACAGACGCGCTATTGAGGCGCCAAAGAAAATATAGCGCGACTGAAGCCTAAAAAAACAGGGGTTTTCGGGTTTTAAGGGTTTGGGTTCCAAAATTATGGGGTTATAATGGGGCCATAGCAATTAAGGATCTGAACTTGTCGCGAAGTCTTGTGACCAAACGACTTTGCATTCTCTAAGGCAGCACACCCCCAAAAGACCCAGGTATTTAACTTTACTCCAACTTCATTGTGAGAATTGACCATGGTGAACCATTGACCGCCTATGCTGCCTATTTACACGAATGATGGAGGTTATGTTGCCTGCGCTACACGTCAGTTTTCAATAAACAGTAAGCAAGCAACATGCGACTTATCTCACGGTCCCGATAATACACTCGGTTTGCATTGGTAGACCGCACATTGTACTACACGAAAGCTTAACCGATTGGCAGATAGGTCTTCTAGGTTCTGACCTGAATATCTTCTCGTCTTCTGGTGGCTGGCTGTCATGCCCATTTGATGGCATCTAGAATCGACAATGGCTTTATATTATCGTGAATAGGGGCTATCACCTAGCATAAACTAGCTTACACCTATCACTAGGATTAAATAAGGATATTGTTACGATCGAGGCCTCGGTTGGAATATTCCTAAGAACGAGACCCCATGTCTATACATGCCTCCTTCTCGCCCACTGCGTCAGATACTCGCGTCCAGCCAACCGGTATGTGTCCTCTTCTACATACGTTCCACCCTGCGCCTCCGTCTGCAGAACCAGATTAAGACCGTCTTTACCTTTATCGTATCGTGGCCAGTGTGGTAATCCCGGGCCATCCGGATTACCCGTATGCGCGAATCGTATCCACTGGCTACTTACTTGGTCGCTCAGCTTGTGATATTCTGGCCACGGGCCCAGCATCGTTGGATTAGCGAAGACGAAAGGTACCTCGCTAAAGTGCTCCACGCCCTTATAAGCGGGTGCGAGCCCTCCGCTCCCGTTAAGGGGGTTGCCAATCGCCGTGGTGTTGGTGAGTGTGCTCTCCCAGGGCCGAGTGTTGAATCTGTACACGTACGTCGGCGAGAACGGGGCGTAGTTCTGCGTGTCGAAACGTCGTGGCCCGTGGTAGAAGACGTCGCCTACGATAGCCGCAACCCGCTTATACTGCCATCCATAATCCGCAAAGCGTTCTGATCCCGTGTTTAAAGGGATTCCCTGTGTTGGGTCGTCCGGATATAGCTCTAGGATATGATCAACCGTCGCATCTGGGAAGCCGAAGCCTGTGCGATGGAGCAGAAAGTCCCGCAAGTCCTCGTCTGTATTGATGCCGAAAGGGGCATTGTCGGTGCCGTCATCTGATACCGTCCCATAAATATGTGGCACGTGTGCAAACCGACCGGCGCGCAAGAGTTCTGATGGGTAGTTGGGAAGCACATCACCGTCTATTGGTGACCGAGATTAGCTGTTGCTACTAACTATGCGCAAGTTACTTTTTGCTCTACTCACCAACAGTAGGGTAGAAACCCGGGCCGGGGACAACTGACGAGTTCAGAAACGGATAGAGGGTCTCGTAGTCGATGGTCCGCAAGCACTCAAGTGTATCTGGAACCAAGTTACAGTTGACCTGGTCGACTATGTTATCATAAATGGGCTGGTACCAATCTGACCCATTGCACCACGCTGTCGTTGCACTCCCGCTCTCTTGGATAGAACGATGGAAGAGACCATCGGTTCGTCCGCCGTAGCTCATTAAAAGTTGACCCTACTCGGTTTTACAACATTAGCTTCTTTACTTATTCTAGAGCCCCTTTCCTCATAATACATCTCGCACATACCACGGCGAATGATCCGGCGGATTGGCCCCAGATTGTCACTGATGAAGCATCCCCTCCGAAGGCCTCAATGTTCTCTTGTATCCAGGCTAGCGCTTTGCGCATGTCCCGCAGTGCTAGGTTGGTATTCCCAGATCCCTATACCCTTAATTAGCTCTTCACAGGTCTCAAGTAGAGCGGACGGCTATGTCTCACCTGAATTTCAACGGAGTACAGGTTACCCCAACCGCCTTTTCTATAATTAATGCTAGCTCCGATAACGGGCAAGCCGATTTCCACCGACTTCTGCACAAGGTATGTGAGGTTATACACGGATTGTCCGCTGCCGCCGTATTGATAGGCACCTCCGTGGATCCACAGCATCACCGGGAGGGGCGGGGTGCTCCTACTACCGTTGCTACTGCCACGGACCTCAGCCGGTCGCACAATGTTGATGCTGAGGCAATTCTCACTCATACCATGCAGTTCTTCAGCCGATAAGTAATAGTCCGGGCAAGCGTTGCCGTAAGCCTTAGCCGTCCGTGTCCCGCTCCATGTCTCGTTCAAGGACTGTGGAACGCGGAATCGATTCTGCCCACCGGTATCTTGGGCGTACGGCACGCCGAGAAAGATATCTTGCTCGAAGCTCGGAAGGTATAAACCCTCGTAGCTACCATTCGTTAGTGTCACCACGGGATCGGCTCTCGTGAGCCCTGCTGCTGTACTGCCGAACCCCGTCGCTAGCAGGCCTAATACGATTCCCGAAACTGCCATCATGAGGGTAATCGTGCCTGTAGCTCTAAGCACTGAGCGGTCCAGAATGGGTAGAGAGAGATTAATATATGTTATCAGTATGACTCGAGCGACACTCGTGATATTCCATAAACGCCAAGTTTTTAGAGATCCGGAATCCCACGAGTCTAGAATTCCTTACCGATGGTGGGGTCGATGATTTTCCCCCCCATCTATAGGTATTGTAGACGATGAAGATATATGTCTCAGTGCCTAGGACAAATTGTATGCTGCTCCTTGCATTCTTAGGAATTCTATTGTCCGCGTAAGTATAGTGAACCTTTTCAGGAAGGTCGTATTCCTAGCGATGTCGAAATGCAGCTGAGAAGAGCACGCTAGACATGCAGGAAAGAAAGGTAAGGTACCTAAAGCCTCTTTCTCAATCGGCTGCAGCCACGGCAACACAACATCAGACCCAACCACCCCGCGCTGATCACCTCTGGGTACCTAAGCTACACCGAGAAAGAACAAGGAACAAGCAAACTACCTAGGTACCCATGAACCAGGGCGATTTAGATGTGTTAAATATAATACAAACAGTAGATACTTATGATTACCAATTTCATTATATTCCTATAGTTTTTCTAGTTTGTCTCTGGTCGTCAGAATATACAAGCAACGCCAGGTTCAGGTTGCAGGTACGTTCTATTTCCATATAGATCTGTCTCGTGTTATATACAATGCTAATTGGATATAATAAGAATGCCAAGCCATTACCATCTAATATTTCGGTTTAAATGGGATAGTAGACAGGAACTTCCCCACGTCTCCTTGGATATCAAGTAGCTTAAAGATCCATTGCAGAATAATAGAGAAGGACTGCGATTCGCCCATGTGTTTGACTCCCGGGACAAACCTGGAGCGGGAGATTAGATTAATTTAATTTCTTGAAGCCTGGAGGAATAGAAACGAATATTGGTTTGGGGCAACTTACCGAGCTTCTTTCGGGCCGCCATGCTGTAAACACAGATAATAGTCGTCAATTGGGAAGATCTCGTCTTCAGTTCCGTTTACTAGAAGTAGACGTGTGCATGGCTTATCCAGTATGCCGGTGGTTAGTAGAGAGAACTTGTCTCGCGCCTCTTTCTTGAATTTTCCAAACTCTTGATCTGCGTATCCGAACTTGTGGCTGAGTGTATGGGCGAGACTGAAGACGCATCATTAGTTAGAATTACTTTTCTCCCCCCCCGTTTACTCGAGGTTAGAGACTAGTAATAAGGAAATAATATTTCTGAAGGCCTACTCGAAAGGATACTCCAAGTCGTCAACAGCATCCAGCCACTCCGGATCGAACATGTGGTGGACACCACCCCCAAGAGCCACCACTCCCTTCAACTTATCAGCGTGGGTATGCGCCACGCGTATCGAGTAGTACCCTCCCGTGCTAAAGCCCCAATTGACGATTCGGCTCTGATCAATGTCGTCCTGCTGCGCGATCCAGTCGAACAAGCTACTCCAGACCCGGTCAGGGCTAGAGGGATCAGACGGCGCTCCGGGATTATCGCCGGTGCCGGGGATCTCGACAACAAGTGTAGCACAGCCTACTTCCGCCCAGCCGTTCTTCCAAACCGCTAGTTCTGTCCGGTAGCCGTCGAGGCCCGTGAATATAATAATCAAGGGGCAAGTTGACGACTTGGACAAACCGGTTGGGCGATGGTAGTAAGCATAAAGGACCGGCCCGTCGCCATTCGCTGCGTGGACGTGTGGGATCTCCATCTCTACCATGGGATACCGCGATAGTTCTAACCCCTTGAGAGCAGCCTCTTTGCCCTTCGTCCAGGCGTACCGCTGCTTCTCGGAGCGCGGTGCTGGAAACCGGGCGATGCGGTAGAGTGCTGAACCTCGCCTAAAATCCAGGTCAGTTTAGAGAATAATGTGGCAGTTACCCTTCGATACAGGCTATAGCGCACAAGTACAATTCCGAGGCCTTAGCCCATTCTCCTTCATCATTAGCAGCGTCTGCGCGGGCCACGAGCTCCTCTGCCTTAGGAAAGAAGCACTGGGCGTATTCGTCCCAGTCATAAGGTCTCTTTAGTCCTTTCGCGATAATGTCGTCAACTACGGGTTGGAAATCTTGTGTAGTCCCAAATATGAATGGGTATATGCCCATCTCACACTAGCCTAATTGATTAGTGTTGTGTGCTGACTGAATTATGAACTGAGCTGGGCGACGTACCGGCCGCTTCCACTTCGTCTCCCATAAGGCCTGGAAGCTCTCATGGTGTGGTGCGGTTTGCTTGAGTTTCTCCTGGATAAAGAACTTATTCCCCGGAGCAGCCATGGTGACCTGAGGAGTGAGATCTCTAATTCTATAAGAGGTGTATTTTAGTTGAATGCTGCAGGTAATCCAGACAATCGACGAATGGGCCTATAACTTTGTTATATGTATGACTACAGATTATCCCAGGCCAGAACTACTAAATCATTAAAAGCCGAGTGCTGTGTTATATCTTATTATTAAATCAGACCTAACGGAAGGGTGAGGAGCCGGACGGCCGGGTGTGGGGATTCCCGCGTCTTCGCGCTTCCGACTTTCATAGTCGTTCCGCCCAATATACGATGATTTCACCTAAGACACGTTGTTATCTCGGTTCCGAAAGGTCTTCAACCCCACACAAGACCCTTGTAGATCTTATGCCGTCGTTCTACAAGTCTTTCCAACGACCCCGCAGCGCGCCGGTTTACGGATATCTTTGCAGATTCGTAGACGGTCAAAGATATGAATGTCTCTGCACTGTTTGAATTACTCTTAGAGTCTAGAGCTGAGTCAGAAGTTGGTTAATGTACATGGGGAGCTCGTCGAGTAAGACGTGTGATACGCTAGATAGTCTCCTGCACTGAACTTCGCAGATCCTATCCGAACTCCATCCCTTTCCTAGGATCACGAGGATCGGGTATCCTATTAGATCGGCGTCTCGCATCTTCCATGGCAACGACTCCGTGCGATCGTCAAGCAACAAGTCTAAGGGCCGGGAGGCTTGGGAGTTTGCTAGATACTCGGAGACAATAACACTATCTTTCTCCAAGCCACGGCCTGGGATGACAACTACCTCGAAAGGTGCGATGGCACGCGGCCAATTTAACCCCTTACTATCGACCAGATGGTCCGCGACAGCACCGATGATGCGAGACACCCCTATACCATGGCAGCCCATCTGTATGGGTACAGTTGTCATGCTTCCAGCTTTAGTGGTTGCGGCATCACCTTCTATCAAGTGCGTAGGCACTTGTACATGAGCTTCAAGAGGCTCGGAGTATCGTGTCCCGAGATGAAATGTATGCCCGAGCTCGATCGCTTTCTGGACCTTGAGCTTCCCGGTCTCGCATCGAGGACAGTCATCACCATCACGAATGCGAAGAACGTTGAGGGGGTCACCATTTGCCGACGCGGTTATGTAGTCGCTCGTGATGATAGAAAGGTCGAGGTCGGCACCTTCGGGTAGTAGGGAGTTGGGACTTGGGTTGGTTTTAAGCGCGGTAGTGAAAAGAGAACCAAGCCTATAATCGATAATATTCACCAACCGTAGACCTTGTTTAGTTTTAGAATGCGTAGAAGACCAGAATGGTGTCGAGTCATTGAGACTCGAGTCCAATTCGGGTAGAACAGATTTGATAGCATATGTGTTAATGTCGTCGTCCGAAAAGGAAGCAGGATACCAGACGTTAATAAGAGTTGACCTATCTTTAGAAACACCACGCCAGACGCCAGCAGTCAGCACATCCCCAGATTCCGTTGGAGACATGTCTTCTGAGGGGCTAAGCCGCGTGGCAGCGAGCTCCTCATTAGCGACATAGTCGCAACTGTTGCAATTAATCACATTATCCTCCCCAATCGAAGTTGGAAGATGGTACTCGTGGCTTAGATCGCCTCCAATGTCACCCGAGCTAGCCTCCGCAACTAGATATGGAAGCTTTAACTCGTCAAACAGTCGAGAATAAGCAGCGCATACTTGTCCATATGTTGAGAGTGCTGACTGGACAGAGTAGTCGAAAGTGTAGAGGTCCTTCATGAGAAACTCTCTTGACCGTAGCACACCGTGCCGTGGCCGGATTTCGTCGCGGTATTTACGACCTAACAAAATGAGATCCAAGACCTAGATATATATCTGCAACAACTTACCAATCTGATAGAGTCTCAAGGGGAGGTTCTTGTATGACTTGATTGTTTTCGAGACAAGTGTTGTTATCTCTTCTTCATGAGTTGGCGCAAGTAGATAGGGGACATCTTTCCTATCGGCAAACCGGAATAACTAAAAATTATCAAATGAGTACACCGAATCTGATTTTAAAGGCATTTATTCTTCAGCTTACCTCTGGGCCGTAACCCTCTAGTCGATTCGTTTGTTGCCACAGTGCTTGCGATGAGATGGATGACAAGGCCACCTTGGAAGCGCCTTGACGTAGATAAGCATTGTGAGAATAGAATTAGGAAAAGGGGATATATGGTTCTTACCAAGCTGTGACATATATTTATCTATTAATCTTTCTAACTTCTCCTGCACCTTTTGGCCTAGCGGGAGCATGTGGAATATCCCTGCATGAGACTTTGAAATAGGTTGTTAGGAAATATACGAAAGAACCCATGATATAGCTACTCACTTGACGAAGGTATCCAGCCCGGATTAACTTGCTATGAGCGTCTAGATATATGTCAGGATGGTCATAGTTAAAATATTTTTAAAACATCAACTGCATACCTTCATTTTCGGTCGCAGTTATTCCTCCCGTAGGTATCCAGAACTTGGACAGGCGAGTGAAACTGTCTTGTATATTGGATTCAGGCTAACGATACATTAACTTGTATGTTATGATATATTAATAGGGGCCATTATCCAAACCGGTAGATCGTTCGATGACGCCGAGGTACTCGAAGGCCGTATAGTGTAAATCCTCAAGCGTTGGAGCGTCAATACATATTTTCTCCTTGGAGTACGTGATAGGAACATCATCTTGGCTGTAGCATGGTTGATTATTCCACACAATCAGATTGTCTATTATTGGCCGTTAAACCCGAGTTGAGTTTATCGCACTCCTAAACCGATACTTAGTAACGTATCAAAATCCCCCTGGAAATTATTCTAATTAAGTGTGTTCGAATCTTGGTGTTTGTGAGCTTAAACATGCGATTTTACTTCTAAAAGATACTTAGGTACTTGTGTTAGATAAGAGCTGTGAGTGGGTTTTAGAGCTTAAGGGGTCCTCAGCCTTGCATGATAGCTTAGTATCGAGACTTATCGATTGGCTAATTCGTAGAGTGGGACCATCTGCCTCGCCCCTCTCAACTTTTTTTCCCTTGCAGTTTTTGAATTTTCTTTTACTCGTCGCAAGTCTAGGGCCTGATAAATACCGGGCATAGGCAATCCCGACAACGCAAATACACACACTCCGGCGGTAGATCTACTAAGTCGGTTCGTGCGAGTTAAGGTCTCCGCATCTTATATCTAAATGGCGACTTTCGACGATACAGCGCTGTCGAAATTGACAGCTAAAATCGACAGCAAGCTCGCCGAGTCCAAGAAAACCCCAGAGAAGAAGGACCAGGGCAAGAGGAAACGGGACCAAATAGGAGATGCTGTCCAGTCGCCACCTAATAAGAGGAAAAATATATCAAAGCCCAACGATAACAAGAATAATCGCAACCCAAAGAAGACTCAAAAACCAACTGGTACTTCCGAGAAAGCCAGCTCTAGTACCCTTCTCGATGAAATTAGAGCTCTTGGGGGCGACGAGGAAGACCTAAAGTTAGTAGAAGATGTAAATTCCGAGGATGAGGAACCCAGCAATGTGAAAAGCAAGAAGGGCGCAGACAAGGGCCTTCGAGCTGAGTTAGCTAAATTTGCTGCTGGTCTCGGTTTCGACGACGTGGGACCGGAGCCTGATGCCGAAGAAGCCGACGGTGTCGATGAAGACGAAAGTGAAGATGAGGACGGCAATGATGGCGAGGCCGAAGAAAAACCTCCACAAGATCCGAAAAGAAAGACGGTTAGTAAGCATTTCTATAAGTGTAGGAGCCGTCGTATAAGCTAAACTGACTGGCCTCTAAGATCTTTGAACTTCGTCCTGACTGGCATGCTGTTAGTTTAAAATCTCTGCCGACTCCGGCATCTGATGATGTAGCCGCCTACGCACCAGCAATAGCCGAGTTAAAGGCCTATGCCAAATCTCTCTTGGACGAGGATAGTACGGCATACAATAAGACTCTGTCTAAATCGTCATCTCACAAGTTCATGTCTACCATAATGTCTTCGGGTACGATGTCGGATAAGGTATCCGCCTTAACTCTGGCTATCCAGGAATCCCCCATACATAATATTAAAGCCCTTGAGAACCTGATAGGGCTTTCTGCAAAAAGGAGTCGTGGGCAGGCCCTCTCTGCTCTCGCTGCTCTAGTGGACTTGTTTGGACCCGGAATGATTTTACCATCGGATAGACGGCTACGTCTTTTTCCTTCGCAATTAGGTCTCGTCGGAACTCTCCAAAAGTATGGCGTGAAAAGATGGTCTGCTGGCCAAAAATTGCCAGGAAAAATCACCAAGGAGCACCTTATATCGTGGATATTTGAAGACTGGCTAAAAGAGTCCTATTTCAAGATTATCCAAAACCTCGAAGTTTGGTGCGATGATGAGATTGAATATGCTCGAACCAAGGCTGTCGATTTAGCATTCGCATTGTTGCGAGACAAACCCGAACAGGAATCCAATCTCCTACGACTTCTCGTAAATAAGCTTGGCGATCGCGAGCGTAAGATTTCCTCGAGAGCTTCTTATCTGCTCTTGCAACTCTTAAACACCCATCCTGGAATGAAGCAAATAGTCATTCGCAGCATCGAACAAGATATCCTGTTTCGACCCGGACAGCAAATACGCGCCAAGTACTACGCCATCAATACGTTAAACCAGACTATTCTAAGCACCAAAGAACCTCAAGTCGCAGATTCTCTGCTGAACATATACTTTGGTCTGTTTGTTGCCCTACTCAAGAGTGGTGAACTCAGTCAGCATGATGGAAACCCCGATACCTCTAAGAGGGATAAACGCAAGCAGAAGAAGAACCCAAAGCAAACGAAGAAGACTGAGGATAAGACTCAGGCTAGCCCGAGCGATCGAGAAGCCGCCGAAAAGCTTGTCTCTGCAATTCTTACCGGAGTGAATCGAGCTGTGCCGTTTTCACAAGCTGAACAGTCTACGTATGTCATATCATCTAAAGTATATCATTTTATACGGCGATACTAACTTGTCCCAGACTCGAGTCACACCTAGATACGCTTTTCCGCATTACACATTCCTCCAACTTCAACACTAGTATTCAAGCTCTTATGCTTATTCAGCAACTCTCAGCCACCCGACACCTTGCTACCGAAAGATTCTATCGGACTCTGTACGAGTCGCTACTAGACCCGCGTCTAAGCACCTCTTCTAAGCAGGCCTTATACCTGAACCTTTTGTATAGAAGTTTGAAATCTGACGTGGATGTCCGCCGTGTGAAAGCATTTGTCAAGAGGATGTTACAGGTCTTGAATTTGCACCAGCCTTCCTTCGTTTGTGGTATCATTTATCTTATAATCGATCTTTGCACAACGTTTCCAGACTTAAAAACGCTTATAAATGAGCCGGAGGAGCATGATGAAGCTGAAGCGGTCCCGGGGGTGGCATCAGATGCCCCAACCGAGACAGCAGTCGTCGATGGGCCGGAAGCCCAGTCGAAGAAGGTCGAGGGCGTTTATGATGGGCGAAAGCGAGACCCCGAATATAGCAACGCGCATCGCAGTTGTCTCTGGGAGCTCATACCGTTCCTACGGCATTTTCACCCTTCTGTGGATGTCTATGCATCATGTCTTATAAACGGACAGGAGGCTGCTCAAAAGCCCGATCTGGCTAACCACACGCTCATAGCATTCTTGGACAAATTCGTCTACCGCAATGCAAAGGCTGCCGACGCGACCAAGGGTGTATCTATTATGCAACCTGTCACTGCAAGCGGTCAAGGAAGCATCTTGCTATCGAGTAAACCTTCGGCCAAGGCAGCAGGAAGCACCTTGAACTCGGCGGAATTCTGGAACAAGAAGAGTGAGGATGTTGCTGTGGAGGATGTCTTCTTCCATGAATACTTTACGCGGATAGGCAAGTCCGAACAGGCTGAGCGCAAGAAATCGAAGGCAGACAAGAAAGAGGGAGAGGGCGAAGAGGATGAAGAGGAACAGGAAGACGAAATCTGGAACGCGCTCGTGGCATCTCGACCAGAAGTGGAAGGCGACTCGGAAAGCGAGCCCGGCTTTGACGATCTAATGAGCCTCGACGAGTCTGACGAGGAGTTTAAGAAGGAGATGGCAGAGATGGATGAGGGAGAAGGTTCGGAAGACGAAGACGGAGTCGAGTTCTGGGACGACTCGGAGGGTGATGACGAGGAAGGAGAGTCGGAGCTACAACAAGCGCCTGTAGCCAAAGAAGATGAGGAGAAAGAAGAGTCGGACCGCAAGAAGAGGAAGAAGGCTCTCAAGAACTTGCCTACCTTCGCGTCTGCCGATGATTATGCGGAGTTGCTTGCTCAGGATGACGATGATTTGTAAATCAGCAAATAGACAGTTTTAATGGTGTCAGATGGTCAACGGTATTTTTACTCTAGCTGGACATGGACCGTTCAAAATTCAAGATACCCGATCCGGTATTAAAATTTCAAATCAAAGTAAATTTCACAAGCGATAATATATTATTCGTGATCTTCATTTGCTCATTTCGTTACGATAACCCCTTCCACCCCATCAACCCACCATAACCCCTTCAAGTATCAAACCACTCCAGCGGATCTTCTTTAGTAAAGATAGCGCGGTACCTGTGGCCGCCGTCGGGCTCTTCGACGTCCTCGGTGTGGATGCTGTGCAGGGTGGCGACGCCGGGTTCGTTGTGTCCGTCGCCGCCGACGAAGGCGCGGAAGTGGATGTACGCGGGCCCCGAGTCGGGCATGGCGGGGAGCCGCTGCTTGCCGAACAGGTGTAGGCCGTATGGGGATATGCCCACGCGGACTTGTTCTAGGTCCGAGGATGAGAAGGCCGTTAGGTCGGAGTCGCTGAGGGCTTGGACTGGGGCGAAGTATTCAGGTTCGTGCTCTGGTGGGGGGGCGTTAGTGGGGTTTAAATTGCTATGTTTTTGGGTTCTTGGATTAGGAGAGGGGAGGGGAGGAAAGGAAAGGAAAGGGAGTAGGCATACTTCGGTATGTGTGCTTCATGTGAAGAAGCGTCTTCTTGAGCTCGGATTCGATCTCGCTGAAGACTTTGAAGGATTCCTCTCTGGGGGCATGGGGTGGTCCTAGTTCAACTGTTTCGGCGGAGGCCTATGAGGTAGGTCACTTTGTTTAGCTAGGTACTGATAATTTTGGATGTGAGGCTTCTGTATAGAGCTATTGCTTACCATGATATCGGTGTATTGAATAACTATGTTGGTATAGTATTACGTGATAATGCGTATAATGTAGGATGATAGATGTGTGTAAGTCGCGTATCTTGACTAATTTAATCGAGATTGACAAAATTGAAAGTAAGTGCTTAGTTCAGATGCTTGATTCTTATACTCAGCATCATATCGCGGGGATCAATCACTTAAATGTATTGTGACAGGCTAGGGTAATCTACATACGTGGATTTCTAGATTGCCAGACAGCCCATTTAATCATGGGCACAAACGTCATAAGCCTTGCTGCTCGTTTGCGTTAGAGGGAAGGTTGATGCTACTAAATGATAGGGCACTTACGTAAGGTAGTTACGGATCATATTGTGTAACGGATGGGGATTGGATGTGCCTTATAGTAGAATTATCAAATTTTGAATTTGGATTGGGTGAGCGTGTCCGGCCACTAACACGGAGACGGCCGGAATTGTGGACTACGGAGGCGGATATAACGGTAACTACATAATACGAACATATTGAAGCAAGTATCTTTCTATGTATACTACAGTACCTACACATGCAGACATGTTATCTTCCAATAGACGTCATAGCTGAGGTGTCGCAGGAAATGCCCTGAAACGGATTCTTAATTGATCTATTTAAAGAGGGAGAGTTTCATGTTCCTTGCAGATCTCAGATGTGCCCCCCTCATGCCGACGCTAACTTCTAGCATCATTTTTTAGAAGTCAGGCCTCCTAGAATGTATTTAGATGTACTTCTTCTTATCAGATAAATCTTTATCCCGGCTTACCTAATATAATAAAACTTACCTCGGTATTTTCCTTGTCGGGCAAAAAGTGGCCCCTAGAGTTAGCGACTGACGGACAACTGGAGCGACTTGGAGCGAAATCCGTTGGGAATCAGGGAATTTGCATCCGCAAGAGTCCAGCCAGGAATCCAGCCAGCCAGCCCAGCCAGCCAGCCAGACAGCCAAGCAACCTGGTGAAGTTTCTCAACAACAAAGGCCGCTACGGATATGTCGACGAGGAATATTCTAGCATACCTAGCATTGGATCTGATTTAATTGGTGAAGAGATACAGTCCGCTGGTTCGGGAGTCCCCACTCGGTGGTTAATCCCTATCATTAGGTAGTCATGCTGGCTGCGCGAATGCGAGTCGGCGCCCTTGCTAGGGGTCGCCGCCAGAAATTTACCGTATATCCGACTATAAATCAGATCCTACGTCCGAGTCCGTCTTCGTCTAGTCGCTTTGTCAGCACACTCCCAGCCGCAGGTAGGATTCCCCTGATCGGACATCGATGCCGTAGTAATACCCCAGGCTGACATTAGACGTATAAGACCCGTCCTTATCGCCCAAACCTTCCCTCTTACGTCGTGCCGCCTCCGTTATAGCTATCGGCCTATTCTTCACCTCCCTCGGCATCGCAATGGCAGCAGCACCAGCAGCGCCGATCGTCAATGAACTCCTCAACCCGCCCACGGATGAGGAGACCTTGACCATGTTCAAGCCGGAAACGGACCACGAGCGTGAGGTCGAGGAGTACATCAACAATCACCCGCTCACTAAGGAGATGCGGTCCAGAGAGGAATTCTACGAGTCGAGACCGCATCTCAAGATCCCAGCCCCTTACCGAGTCTATAACTTGACGGGTGGCACGCTTATGGGACCGGGTAGGGTGGTTGTACCGCCGGTAGCCTTCGTCGAGGCGGGCGGCAAGTCCATAGTCTCGATATCGTACCTGGGCCACGAGTTATGCGGCCACCCGGGCATAGTACACGGCGGGCTTCTTGCGACCATGCTAGACGAGGGTATGGCGCGGTGCTGTTTTGCCGCGTTGCCGCATAAGGTGGGCTTAACCGCCAACCTAAACATCAACTACCGTGCCCCAGCATACGCGGATTCGTACGTCGTGCTCAGAGCTACGACGACAAAGGTAGAAGGACGTAAGGCCTGGGTCGAGGGCCGCATCGAAACCCTAGTAGGCGAAGGCGAGACTCCGGTGGTCCTCGCGGAGGCGACAGCTTTGTTCGTGTCTCCTAAACACGCAGCGGTTCGTATATGCCAGAGACTCATACTTAAGACAGAGTTAGCTAACGTGGATTTTTAGTTGATGATGAACTTGTACCCAACGGCATAAGGGTAGACGATGGCATTGTGATGAATAGACTTTTAGATCGGGATAGACAAGACTTTACGCCTGGCACGGAGTTGGAATGAGAGCTGGTAATGCTTGATATTTATTCATTTTCGAGGTATCTACTCGAACCTTACGGGAGTCGGAGATCGAATGGGTCGGTCCGTCTGGACACTTGTCCGGGAATTATTCAATACCCTATACACCAAATCCCCCATATTTGCAAGCCTATATTATAGTTTTGCGTTAATTTGCTGTGAGTTCACCGAACATTACCTATTAGCACGTGGTAGGAACACGGATTTATTGTCCGAAAAACTACAGACCAAGAGATGTCCGGACATAATTTTCTCGAAGCAAACAAATCTTATTATTATATGAGCCTTATAGATAAATGCCTGCTTTGCCTTGAGTGGATGATAACTTATAGGCCAAGATGAAGATCGGGAATACGTTAAACATGCGGCATAGCACGACAAGATGACTACGCCGGTTTAGTATAGTGTGCTCTTTACACATTACGCAGCCAGATGACGAATCTTTGATTAAGCACACCTATTATATCCTAGCTGTCTGTAAAACAAAGTCGGCCTCATAAATATCTCTTGTAAGCTACTTGGAAATATATTTACTAAATATTATTTCCCGTTCTTAAACATACCTAGGTATTTATTAGCCTATCCGGCATCACTTATACAACTTATACAACTTGATAGGGAGCAGTTCAGATCAGACAATTGCCCAGTTGAGCCAAGGCCCGCGAATCGGAGGCGGATGGAAGCACGTCATCCGACCACCGACATCCTAAACGGTAACTAAAGTACCCGCTGCGGCTAAGGCACGTCAGTAAGTCGAGCACTTAGGTACAGCACAGCACCTATCGACATAGTCCAGAACCTTGAATTTGGGAAAAGCTGAGACGGGAACTTCCATACATAATTACTTCTATGAGATCTTGATTATTATTCAAGGTTTATCCGTCTCATTTATTTTTTTGCATGCATTTTCATACCTCACGTGGTAATCTTCAGCTTTCCGTTGCTAGGAATCGTGCTAGGAATCGGGATAGATAGAAATGGCGACGTGAGTTACCCTTTTTTTCTTTTCTTTTCTTTTCTTTTTACTCGTGCAACTCTTTTTACGAGATTTTCTACCTCTACCCCTCCCCCGCTATCCCTCAGTTTTATATCCTTCTCAACCTGCATCCCGCCGTCTTTACACGCACTGCATTAAATATCCTGTGATCGAACCAATAGACATGGCGAATATAATTGGATGATAAATAGATAACTTCTCCCCTGGTAATGGGAGGGAATAAGTCAAAAAGAAGAAGAGCAAAAAGACAAACAGCTAAATATGTAGTTAATTAAATAACGAACTAACTAACTAACTAACTCACCCCTCTCCAGCAACATAACCTGGCACCCCTCCCTCTCGCGCCGCGAGCGCATCGCCCTCCGCGGCCAGCGCGGCTTCACGCTGTGGTTCACCGGGCTCAGCGCCTCAGGTAAATCGACCGTCGCGACCGCGCTAGAGCAGCACCTGCTGCACCTGAACGTCGCCGCGTACCGCCTCGACGGCGACAACGTGCGCTTCGGGCTGAACAAGAACCTCGGCTTCAGCGACGCCGACCGCCAGGAGAACATCCGCCGCATCGGCGAGGTCGCCAAGCTGTTCGCCGACAGCGCCCAGGTCGCCATCACCTCCTTCATCTCCCCCTTCCGCGCCGACCGCCAGCTCGCCCGCGACCTCCACGCCGCTGCCGCTGCCGCTGCCGCCGACGGCGACGTCCCCATCCCCTTCGTCGAGGTCTATGTCGACGTGCCCATCGAGGTTGCCGAGCAGCGCGATCCGAAGGGCTTGTATAAGAAGGCCCGCGCGGGTGAGATCAAGGAGTTCACTGGGATTAGCAGCCCTTATGAAGCTCCTGAGAATCCCGAGATTACCATCCGTACGCATGAGAACTCTGTTGAGGAGTGTGTTTTGCAGATTGTCAAGTGGCTCGAGGAGAAGGATTTGATTCCTACCAAGACTACTACGGCTACGGCTGCTGATGCCGCGGGAAATTCCGGCATTGCTGCTCTTGCTTCGTGAGAGGTGCTGGTTAGTAGAAAATAGGAGAATGGGTGCTTAGTCTAAAGCTGGTACGGATGTGAGCTACAATTCATCACGAAGTGAAAGGCAAATCGCTATTTAGAAGTGAGGCGAAACACGTAGAGTCGAGCAATAGATATCAACCGTTCCGAAGACATGTACAGACAAGTCCCATTGCTGCGATGTGACAACCAAAGTCCCCTATTCGCGGAGATGTTAGCCATGACATTGGTCCGCCCGTGAAAACGCCAACCTGATAAATTAGCTGCTTGCATGCTGTCTATACTTCGAACTCGTAATATACGTATGCCGTATACTCGTCGCCTTCCCCTGCGTGCCCTAAGCCGGCCGCTGCCATCTCCGACGTTAACGCCGCGTCGTCTTTTGTGATCTTCCCTCGCTTGTCTCGTCCGAACGCATTTCCACCCAGGTACGAATACGACGAGTCTAGGGCCGCCCTCACCTTCTTTACCAACTTCGCGTTCGTCTGTAATAGTCGAGTTAGTATAGGTCGAAATTATTTGAAGGAAATCGAACTATGCGCTTACCACTACAAGAGCCGATACGAATTCCAGCGGTAAGCCGTAGCGCAACACTGTCTCTACGAAGACGCGGAGGGCCATGATGTGCGCCCATATCATAACACTCTCGCTCCATCCCGTGCGGGTCAACCGTAGAGCCTCGCCCCAGACCTTCTTTTCTTCCCGAGTGACGCGATCTATTTCTCTCTGCTCTGCTTCTTTACCACCCTCGACGTATTTGTATTGACGGGGCGTCCACTTCTGCTCTCGACACTTCTGTTGGAACTCGGCACTGTGCTTCTTAAACGTGGTGACGGCGAACAAGACAAATTCGTCGTCTTGCGCAACCTGTACGGACGACCGGGGCACTACCATGGGTGACACGGTCTCGTAGCTCTTAAGATACTCCTTTTTCAGGTTGGAGGGGACAGCGACAAGGTGCGTTTCGAGGTATTCGGAGTCTCGCACTAGCAGAGACGGGTCGACGATCGGTGTCAGAGACTTGGTCGCGAGGTTGCCCCTGAATTCAACGAGTAGGGTTAGTATCTGCCTTAGGAACCAATGGATTTGAGGGCGCATTACGTTTGTTTTCTTTGCAGGGCGGCGAGGTTCGTCTTGACTTGGTTGTATTGGTTGAATTTGCTCTTGACATCATTGTCGATTGTAGCCAATTCCTAGCGGCGCAAAGAGTCTATGTCAGCATAGCTCCCGTTTGGCACCGGGTAGAATCATGTTAAAGGAGAAGTACCTTTTGGAGGATATCAACGAGTTCGCCTATAGGCCTATCGGCTCGGTAGCGGACTTTGTTCCAAGTAAAGGTGCGAAGATACTGATCCGTCGGCTCTAAAGTCTTCTGTCAATATCCCAATATGTCGAAAATTTCAAGAAGTAAGGGCTACGTACTATCGTTAACCATCTTTTGCTCAGAAGCCTTATCATCGTTGCCTTCGTATAAAGATCGCAAGGCGTCGCCAACTTTGCTGACCACTCCCTCGCAGGCCGTATTAAGCTTTGCCAGGTCGTCGGCTTGCTGGACTAAGGCGTCCAGAGTTCCTATCTTAAAATTGGGGACAGGAAAGGGAAAGACGGTTCCATTCTCGGACGTGATGGTGGTCTTGACGGAGTCGAGAGCTTCTTGCTGGTCACCCGTGTCGAAGGTACTCAGGGGTAGCGACAAGAGAACGTATTTCGCCGGGGTCGGGGCCATGGCGGCGATCGGGAACTAAATAATTGTGTTCGTACTTGCGTGGTATACTTGTCGATGAATGCAACTTTAGCTATGGTCGAGAGGAGCTGGAAAGGTGAGCTCTCGAAGGTGGAGTCGGAGTATATTGCTTAGTGTTAGAGAATATGGAGCTAAGCTAGGTAGCTAGGGAAGTATATATTGTATAGGAAGAAGCACCGATGATGAATGGGTATGACTTCCTCGCATGAAAAGTAGCCACGATGTTTGTGGCTCGGGTCGTGGATTATTGTAGGTATGCAGGTGAGGTTGAGACAGAGCTGCGCTATGGAAACATGAAGTAAGGCTGTTTTGTAATTCGTACTGCTGTAGACTTAACGTCAGTGCTCCTTCCTCCTTCTAGCTCAGCCTTAAGTGGGGAGGTACTTCAGTGTGTAAGTGCACTGCTACAGTTTTATGGCTTACAAAAGCACCTAACTATGGAACCTACCTTAAGTTAGCTCACTGTATAATGACTTCCAATTATTAGGCTTAGATAGCATTGAGAATAGGCAACTCTTCTACTGAAATGGGACTTATATTATGGTAGATACCTACATGTAGTTGATGCTATAAAGTGGCACTTACGAATATAAAATAACTAGGTAGCCAAATACAATTGCTTGCATCAAGACTTATGAACTATTGCGATTGTCACAATTGTAGTCCACTTTTGCATGTTATTAATATTGTTAATCCTAAAATGTCCATGGGCCTTCAAACGCCATATTCTGTTCAGCTTACACGAGTTTGCCGTTATTAGAGCCAATCAGTAAACACCATAAAGATGCACGCAGTCTCGGGCTAGAGGGTGATAAAGTACCATAACGGTAAAGGGTGGTTTTGAAAAACAATTCTTTAACGAAGTACCGTACCTCTTATATATATTATTTATTAAAGAAATAACGTTATTTTTTAAATAATTGTTACTTAAATAACTATTATTTTTCTTTTAAAAATTGTTTTTCTTTTAAAAATTGTTTTTTTTTTAAAAATCGTTTTTTTTTTAAAAATTGTTTTTTTTTTAAAAATTATTTTTTATTAAAAACTATTATTATAATAAAAATTAAATTTATTAAAAAAATTATTTTAATTATATAAATTATTACCGAAATATTATAAATTTTTAATTTATTTTTATTAATATTATAATTAATAAATTTTCTATTTTATATAAATTATATTTAAATTATTAATTAGGATTAGGTATAATTTAATTAATTTAATAGTTATAATTTTAATAATAAATAATTTATTAATTAACTTTTATAAAATATTTAAATTAATAAATTTGTTATAAATATTAATATAATGTAAAAGTATAATAATTATAAAAATATATTGTTTAATATAAATATTAAATAAAAAAATATGGTTAATATAAATAAAATTATTTAAGTTATAATATTAAATATAATTATTTTTATTAAAAATAAATCGTTTTTTAATATTATTATATTTAATAAAAAAATTAACCTTATTTATAAATATATAAATATTATTTATTATTAATTAAAAATAAGTTTATATGTTTATTATATTTAAGCGTTATGGTTTTATATATAGGGGTAGTTGTTATTATAATTATAGTTTTAATAATATGTTAATTAAAAGTTAAATTTAAATATAAAAAGTAAATTATTATATTTAATAAATAAAAAATTTTTATTAAAAATAAAATATTTAATGCGTTAAATATTTTTTAATAAAATAAAGTTAATAATAATTAAATTGGTATATATATTATTAATAAATATAAATATTTTTAATTTTATATTTTTTTTATTTATAATATTAATTAAATTATTTTAATTAAAATAAAATAAAATATATTTTAATAAATTTAAATATTTTTGATATAATTTTTATAATTTAGCTGTAAGGTTTAAATTTTATTTATTAAACGTGTTTTAAATAATAAATTAAATAATAAATTAAATATTAAATTTTATTAATATTATATATTTAATATTAAAATAATTAATTTAATATATATTAATTTTAAAATATTTAAATAAAATTATATATATATTAAATTTATTAAATTAAATAAATATATTAACGTATTAATATAAATTTTTTTTAATTAATATATTAATATTAATAATTAAATTATATTTTTTTTACAAAATTTATATAATATATAATAATATAAATATTTAATTATAATATATTATTTAAATATTAAATAAATTATTTAATTATATTTTTATTAATGTATTTAATAAATATTTTATTTAATATAATATTTTAAATTAATATAATTAAATTAATATAAGATTTTAATAAATTAACGGTATAAATATTTAATTAATTAAAAAAAAATTTTATTTTTTTAATTAAAATTTTTATATTATTATAATTAATTATTAAAGTTTTAAATTTTATAAAAATAGTATTATTTTTTATAATAATTATATATGTTTTTATAATGAGGTAAATTAAATTATTATTGTTATATATATTTATTTTTTTTGTAAATATAAGTTTAATATGTGTAAATTTAAATTAATTATAAAAAAATATAAAAATAATAATAGATTATATAATATAAACGGATATATTATAATTTTATAAATAATATTTTAATAATTATAATTAATATATATTAAAAGGAAATAGTTAATTTTATAATATAAAAATATAAATTATTATTATTAAAAATATTAAAATATTATTATATAAAAAGATATATATTAAATAAAATAGTTTATTATATTTTAAATATATAAAATTATATAATTGTAAAAAAATTAAATTTAAAATTAAAATTATAAATTATAATAATGGTAAAAAGTTTAATATATTTTATTATGTATTATATATTTTTTTTTAATATTATTAATATATATATTTATTATATATTATATTTATATAATTTAATAATAATATTGATTATAATTAATAATATTAAAATTTAAATATAATTAAAATATTTTTTTTATAAATATAATATAATAATAATAATAAAATTTTTTAATATAAAAATCTTTAAATTTATTATTTTTAATTTATTATAATATATTATTAATAAAATAAAAAGTAAAGGTATAAATTAAAATTTCTTTATTATTAATTATTATTTTTATATTTTTATTAAATATTTTAAAAGTATTGAAAACTTTAATTATTTTATTAAAATTAAATTTATAAAAGTTAAAAATTAAAAAAAAAATATTATTAAATTAAAATTAATTTATTATGGAAAAATTAATTAATATAATATAATTTTTTATTAATAATTTATATAAATTAAAAAATATATTAAATTTATTAATAAAATTAAAATATGGTAAAAATTTTATAAATTTTATAAATAAAAATTTTTAATTTTATTTAAATTTAAATATTTTTTTATTATATATATTAATTTTAAATTTATTATAAATAAAATATATATAATAAAAAAATATA